CATAAATCATGACATATTTAGCTCTGATTATTTGGAAATATGCATGCAAAAATTATCGATTTAACCTGATTTTCCCGTATCCAACCCCATATCTATCATCCCTTTCCTCGATAGATAGCAGCAGAATTTTTCAAGAATAATTTAATATGTATTCTTCATATTAGATGTCAACACGAAAGTTAAACCTATGAGCTACAAATATTCTAAGTTGGAGAACAGTGGCGGGTCATAGTTTATAACGGGATATATGTTTTTATATTAATGAATCAAATAACACGGGATTTTTATTTAACGTAATGCCTAATTCATCTTTTCCATTATTCGACAATTTCGCATTACTCTTGCGGGAAAAAAGAGCGGGATTGAATCCCTGAGATCTGACTGAATCTAGTAATTTTCCAAACACGCTTTGATATCTCTCTCTTACAGATGCGAAAGTTGACAAAGAACATCAAAATTAAGAGAGAGATAAATGGCCATACCCATTTAAAGGTCCCTCGTAGCAATTCGTTTCCACTCGCGTAGTTCCGAAGGCAAAAGTTATTTCATTATGCGAAGTTGCCGATGTTCCTAGGTTTTCTGATGTTATGTGACATTGGAATTTAAGTCAAATGAAAATGTAGGTACATACATTTTTTAATTACCCCCCACATACTTCGATTTTTTAGTATGTGGTTACCCCAGACGTTACATACAAATAACGTATAATTAAAATCCGCTAAACATAAAATAATACAGAACCATTTGAAGGTTTATAGTTTACATTTATCATGACAATCAATGACACTTTAAAAACGCGTGAAATTTTAATTTTTTATGTGACAACCTTGCTTAGGATGCTGTAAGTGAGATGACATTTCTGTGACATTCAGGACAATCAGGACCGGTCGTGACGCTTAACGTTGTGTGCATTTTTGGACAAAAATATTGTGAATTTGTGTCCAGTCTTCTTCTGTAGATAAATCATGAGTAAAGCGAAGAATATACGTCGTGGTGGCATCTAGGGCACGTATAAAATGTCTTCGAATTCATAGCTGTAAATGTATGAACACTTTTCTACTGCAACTTTCGTTTTAGATAGCAACCAGATTTTTATTCATTTGAAAGGTTATGATATTAAATCATTATTTGGAAGTTTAAAAACACCAACCAAATGTTTTTATCAGTACATTTATCAGTTGGAATATTGCAGTTTTTGAAAAATATAGAAAATTACTTACCTTGTCCCACATTTGGAAATAATTCGTATAATTTGTTTAACCTTCACCTGGCCTCATGGGGTACGTACATACCCCACGCTCTTTCTCGTCGATTTTCGATATCTAAATCTTCGAAATCGAAACTCGTAACGACATCTATCAGTAGTCAAGGGATATACTTTTATACCTAGGCCAGTGGTATAGCGCTCTCAAAATAAATACTTTTTAAAGACCCATAAAAACCATTATTATTCTTTTATAGTGATGTAACAGAAGAAGACAGCTAAAATTTCAGCCCTTTTTATCGAAAAACAAAAAAGTAATGATTTTTTTTTTTGTAAAAAACTCATTTTTTTTTTCAAGTTTTCAAATTTTCCGGATTTTTTTTTAACGCTGATCTTTTTTCTACTCGGGCTATTCTACAGTTTAAAGTGGTATCTAAAGAGGATCTCTGAATTTTTTTAAGACAAAATGATCAATATTTCAATTTTTACAAAGATTTTTATCACTGGGGTTCGTACGTACCCCACGAGTCCAGGTATATTACTCAGGATGAGCATGCCAGGTGAAGGTTAATACTTTAATACAGTTCAAGGATTTAAACACCCTTGTCAACATTTTTCTAATGACTATTTTTTAAAGTTATCTATTCGTCTTCGAATATCTTACCTAATAAAATTCAGCAACATATATTTCAGAAATCAGCAAAAAGAAAATAGAAAGGTATGTATTTTAAGTAATGTCTTAATGAGTGCTTTAGATCTGATTCTTCATTAATTAATTAATTCATGAAGAATTTGATAGATATAAAACTAAAACCAAATTTAATGAATATTCATGAATAAATGTTCTATTTTGCATTTTCATCCAATTATACTTTACAGTTCAGAAGTATCAACCTACCAAACTATTTGTTCAATATTTGTTTTATTAGGTTTGTGGATACAGGTGATAGAATTGTAATTTCCTGCTAATAGGGCTGTATGCAATAAGTATTCAAACCTCAATTATTTACAAAAGTTGTATTGGTATACTTGTTAGTGATGAGTTTATATTGTATCCCAACAAACAATGAATTGCCGGGATATTGCTGGCCTTTTGCTATAATTGAAGCAAAACTAAATACAAGGATTAAAAAATAAAAGGCTACTTTTGTCTTTTTAATAGTGACCCAACATTATGTTGGTTGATGATTGGGTGAGAGCGAGGTAAAAGTCTAAAGGCTGTTAACTGCCGCAGACCCAACCCCCCAACATTCCATGAGGATTCCGTCCCGCGTTCATATATGGAGACACCGATGATCACTTGCTACATACTCAACGAGTGGACATGAGGCCAGTTTGGGATTGATGGTACTCACTATTCATTGTTCATTGTAATTTCTTGCTCATACATGTTATTAATTTAATATATTTTATGAAAATACATTTTTTAGAAGACATTTTATCTCTATTATATATTATATAACTGAATTAAATAAAATGTCTACAATATTCTAGGTATATTGGAATGCATTCGGTTTTATATTTATACTTCAAACAGTACTGCTGGTCAAAGAGGAACTATCGAATTGTACCTGGCACATGGCCTTTATTAGCAGTCAGTATTAATATGGTAAAAGGCCTGCAATTTCCCGTTAACTTTCCATCAATAGGCCATTAATTGCCAATATATTTATTTCAACACATTAAAGAGAAAACGGAGGCCTTTAACTAGATTTTATGTCTAATAAAACCTTTACATTATAATTCGTTGCTTGTTATAACTTTTTACATATTATAAAATTTTAAATACAAATCATATTCTTTTTTTTTAAATGTTTAAAAATGAAACTCCTATCGACAACTTTTTTAACATACTAGTGCTGCTACTATACCTTAATTACATAAACCAACCCTGGCATCCAAAACGCATGTTTAGAAAAAAGTCATATTTAGTAAGACTGATTGAAAATAATTAAAATTGGCAACATCTATGCCATACCCATTTAAAGGTCCAAGGTCATAGAAATCTCATTTCAAAATCCTTTGATCTTTTGCCGAGTTTCGCATCTGTTGTGGTTAATCTGTGTCCTCGCCTTACAACTGTTGTCATCGTTACTTTAAACTATGAAGACTTTAAACAACTGTCATCGATTGTATATTATAGTAGGGAGGCAGTGAAAATTTTTTGGTACATATTTGCACAATGCTAAATCATTTATAATTCGTTAATTCTTATTCTGTAGAAGATAAAAATAATTTGTTACAATCGATCTAGCCGCTAGATGTTAAATGTCCTGTCAGCAAGCAAGAAGGTAAATCATATCTGAAAGTTTCAAGTTTGCGCTTTTATGACAGTATTTTCTATATTTTCTACACAGGTTTTTGTAAAATATCGTCGAGGGCTACATCGCTGCGCAGCAATATATAAGAAAAATGAACAAAATATTTGTAATTTTACCTTTCGCAAATAACACACCTACCAATACAATCAAACCTCTAAGTATCAAACGCAAAAACAAAATGACATTTGCGCATGGGTAATTGGAACTCAGGGTAGGAAACATAACAATATATTTTGATATTTTTAAGCAAAAGTCACAGATCTGTGGCGGAAGCAGTAATTGCGCATTACTATAACTGATTAAAAGACGAGTGCAGTAAAAGTGGGGACAGAGATAAGGGACATAAAGATAGGAAAGGCTCGTAAGAAGCCAATGCTTAACAAAGACCAGCTTTAACGCAGTTAATATCTGACTCACTATGTAGCGCATTCATCGATATCAAACAACGCAGCGGGAAATTTAAAAATCTGATAATAAAGGTTGTATAAATATCAAATATCTCATGTTCTGTTAAATGAATTTAAACAATTTATTTACGCTAAATTATTTATTAAAAAGAATATTACACTTGTAAATCCATTCATGACAAATATTTTTAAATTTTTGATCGTTATTTGTAATAATATTTTTGTTTTTATTTTCCAAACGAATTGCCAATAGTGTCTTATTTAAAAATGTTGAGTGCAAACCGAATAATGGGAATTCATATATTTTTCTTCCTATATCAAATCTGATTTCTAACGTTTTGAAGCCCTTTTCTTGATCTAAAACAAAACAAAAGTTGAATACTGTTTGTGTTACTTACATGAATAGATCTGACTTTGGTTAATTAAAGAACGCCACATTGGAGTTGTTAATTTTATTCATGTGGCATGTGTTACTAATGCAATACTTTCTCCGACTTATTGTTATATTACAAAATATTAATTATTGTCCTCAAATTTCATACAAAAATAGCCACAAACATTTCGCTCTTCATCTAGAGGATAACACAATCATGAACTCAAAATTTTAAATTCAAATTCTGGATTCTACGATATATATACAAGTCAACTGTTGTCCACATCTACTGTCTGTCTGCAAAAGACGTGTACCTTTAGTCACAGAAGAAAGTATCGTTCTTTATCCTGTGCTTTAGTAAACATTTGAGATGACGCCATCGTTGCTGCGGTCGTTGCGTTTCCTATCTTTAGGCGATTTTAAATCAGACACGTCTTGAATATGAATGACTACACCACATACTTTGATTTTCTTTTACGACTACACTGATATAAATCAAAAACATTGACGTCATATTGAATATTATCTTGAAATGGTGTGAAATGGTCAAGTTTAAAATAACTACAGTAAAAACGTGGTCATCACAGGTATGAAATGTCAAATGAAATGACAAATGTAAAACTTTTACTCTTTATTCATTAAATTATTGGTTTGTTTTGTAAAATCGAAAGAAAGGCTGAGTATAGGGTTGCCAGATTTACGAACGGTAAAAGTGGACAACGCTGACGACAGGGGGGACAGGTTAAAAAAACAGGTATTTTTATAAAATAATCTTCTTTCTTTCTGGAGATCTAAAAAGAAAGGTCCACCGCCTATATTTTTATGAACGATCAGGTCCTTTTTCTAAGGAGCTTCTCAAAAAAAGGTCAAACATTTCTTTATATAAAACTTTAGATTTAAAAATCATAGCATTTAGGTAAAATGCGGGGCATTTTCGTACTTTGGCGTAAGCTTGCCACCAAGTTAAAAAGCGGGACAATTACGCCTGAAGCGAGACGTCTGGCAACTCTAGCTGAGTACATAGATATGGATGCATTTAAGGTTCTTGTAAATGGAAAGCCACTTTATTTTCAAGATAGCCAAGATTTATTGATGAACATGGCAAAAGGTCTCGTACAATTTCCGAGTCCAAGCAACTACAACACCAATTTTCTCTTTATCCATGATCAGTACACAAAACCAATATTTATTTGTTATCCTTATAAATCAAAACCAAATTCTAACTACAATACATAAAACATAAGCAAAACTTCGCGATATCTGACAATATCATGCATATCATGCACATTGTCAAGTTAGTGTCAATATAAACCAAACATTTTTAAATCAGATTCTTAGACTAGGTAATAAAGAGAGGACTCATAACGTCGCTGAAAATCTTGTGCCATTTTGACACCAACGATATTTGACCAAAGGCGTAACAAACGAACTTGTAGTTATGTTATTTAGTACTTAATTGATCTTTTTAGGTATAAAGCAAGTTCAAAGCATAAAATTTAAAATAAATAAGTAACAATAAATAAGACACAAGAAAATAATATATTGAAATAAACTAAATGAAATCGTTTACATAATAAAATGAGTGTTTTTTTTTAAATTCCGCAAAATAAAACATAATGATCTACATGTATTACAAAAAGATTTATTTTTACTTAATATAGATATCCAGATAGCACAGACACGTTTTAAAGACATCTTAAAAACGTTTGTTCGCGACGTTCGTGACGTTTTGAATATCTACCCTAATATCCAAAAGATGTTTTAAAGGCGTCTATAGGACCCACTTTGTTACAAAACAAGACGTCTTTAGGACATCTAATTTTGTACGTCTTGCAGTTTTGTACGTCTTGAAGACAAACCTTATTGAACGTGTTTAAATCGTCTATTTACTTGATGGAAATTTATTTATAAAAAATTTATGAATACTTGTCTACTATATTTAATACTGTTTATTATACATTATTAAACAATTAAAACTGATACAGAGTAAATATTATTTTAGTGTTGGATAAAATAATTAAAAAATGACTTCAAGTACTTGTTGCTATGAGAAACTATTCCAGTTTGGTAGATTTAAAAATTTCTTTTATGGTATTAATTTTAGCCAAAGCGTTTGTAACTAATGTATCCGTAGCATATAATTTTGTTGAGTTATTGTTTTAATGTGTTTTCCTAAAAAATAAGACATTATTAAAGTGAGATCATGAAACTAAAAGGCAAATAAATTAAAACTTACCGTTTTATAATTATAAAGTTTACTAGTTCCGGTATACCACAGTTCCAATAATGGCAAATAAATAATATAAAAAGACAATATATAAAAAAACACAACCACGATAAAATAATGACAATGTCCACAGACTGACTCCAAAAATATTATACAATGGCTGTCCCGAGAAAAAGGCAGCTAGAGGAAGAACACGACTCGATACGCCCGCGCAAGACTCTAATCATCCAATGACAATGACGAATGTGGATCTACATGGGCTACAGGCAGCACCAAGAACGCTGTCGTGGCGCCATATTCAAATATAGCGAAAAGAGTTGAACGTCCACATTACCGACATATTTAAAATATCCTAAAAACATCCCAACAAAGACGTTTTAAACATGTCCTGAGTAGTGCATCTTAAAACCGTCCGTTTTACGTACCAGGAGGTTTGGACGAAATTAAGACATGAACTGGACGTCTTTAAGATGTAGTGTGCTATCTCGATATTATTAAATTAAGCTAGTAAGAAAAATTATACATAAATTATGATAAATTTATTACTGACTCTTAATTAATACTAATTTGGTACAATAACAAGAAGTTTTAGCGAACAACTCTTTTTTTATATCTTTTAAGTTTTTGTTTAAGAACTTTGATTTGTCTTGTTTTTTCCTTATTCTTTTCTACCTGTTGTAAAAGTTGTCTTCTAAGCTGTTTTATGCTAGGGCTTTCTAGGATAGATTCCTTATTTGAAGGAAGGGCCTGGCTCAGCTTCCAAATGCAATGCTCTTCTTTTTAAGTACTACAAGCACTCAATTATTACGGTAATGTTTTAAATTATACACTAAAGGGTTGCTTAATTCTTAAAAGTTCATAACATAATACTGAAAAGTAATTAAAAAAATATATATGTTTAATTATGTTTATTAGTATACGCACCTTCTTCGGCTTCATGTATTTAGAGAATTCAGGAAATATAGTGGGAACTGCTCCATTTAGTAAACGTATTTTACAGTCCGTCCCATAAAAAAGTCTTTTAAAATGTTTTGAATAATATCTATCATTTGGCGTAGGCATCCAATTTGCAATTTTCATTGCCTGAATCCAAAGATTTTTTTGTTGGATTTACAGGAAATCTAAAATAAAACAACAAATAAACATTGCTGCAATTAAATAAAAAGCAAAAGTAAATTAGGATTTAATCAAAGTTAATATTTAGAATTATACGACACGCCACTGGAAAAAATTACATGTTTGGCCATTTTAATATCATTAATTGCTTAAATATCAATGAAAAGGATAAAATAAACAAACTTGGTGGGTAAAATTTATTACTTTGAAGTGAGACATGTACAATATGTAAATACCAAGTTGTATAACACCAAATAAAATGAAAAATATAAGAAAATATATAAAGTAAAAACGATTGATGTTTATCATTTACCTGTAAAACGTAATATCTGCTTATTTCTTGCCGCTATAACTTTAACACTGATATGCCATACAATAAACCATTGTAATAAACCAATTATGTCGTTTAATTCAAAAATCAGAAATAAACAAGAACAAAAACTTTGGTGTCACCGGAATGATTAGCACCAAAATAATGGCGGCCAATAGATAATCGGCACAGAATACTACGTGTACTCAATATACTTGTTACGAGCCTATCTTTATTATCTAGTCTAAGATCAGATTAGTAGAACGTCATTATAATGACGTAAGAACCTTGACCACAATTGACTTCGTCACATTTCTAGTAATTGATTTTATGTCCCTAATCTCTGAGTGAGGCTTAGAATATATGAGTGGGGATATACCTATAAAGACTAGAGACATACCGTCACATTCCATAGGCGTACTTTGCAAAATAGGTTTCTATATTATAAATAAGGTCACAGCATATAAAATGGTATATGTATACGCACTGTGTAGATTAAATTTTGAATGAAAAAAGTTTTATTGTTTACAAAAAATTAAAATAAACCTTATGCTTCTGACAAAGTTGTTGCACTTTAACATTTAATTAATTAAATTTAACAGGATATGTTGTTAATAGGATTAAATATCTCTTGACGTTAAAAGTAACACTTCAGTACCTAAAATCAAAGATAAATATATGAAAAATCTAAGAACTATATTTAAAAATCAATGTCTTCACTATAAATACTGTTATCATAATTATTGTCTTTTTTGAGGTTTATTAAAATAGGTTCTCCATATATATATATATAATTAAACCAGTAATTACTGGGTAATGTAGCAAATGAAAGAGTACTTTTTTAAGTATATTCATTTGCTACATTATCCACTAATTACTGGTTTAATTATTAACTAGTCAGCAACGAATATCAACTCTCTTATATATATATATATATATATATATATATATATATATATATATATATATATATATATATATATATATATATATATAAGAAAAAAGGGTTATTGGGAAATACCGCAAAAAAGAGAAAAAAAAGCCTGAAGGGCAAACCGTAGACACGTGTTTCTGACTATTGGTCTTCATCAGTACGGTGCAGCCAAGTTCAAGACAGAATGGAACTAGCGATGGAAGAAAAAACAAACAGGAGATCACTCAAGCAGCCAACCACACATTTGTGGCTTCGGCCAACAATCCCTGTGATTACAGGGAAGTTATTAGCGTCGCCACGGCGGCAGTTTTAGCCATCGTGGTGATGCATCCTAGCCCAAGGAAACTAAACATGAAAAGGTTTAGTGCGGTGAAGAATTAAAAGAAAAAAAGGTTATTGGGAAATACCGCAAAAAAGAGAGAGAAAAAGCCTGAAGGGCAAACCGTAGACACGTGTTTCTGACTATTGGTCTTCATCAGTACGGTGCAGCCAAGTTCAAGACAGAATGGAACTAGCGATGAAAGAAAAAACAAACAGGTGATCACTCAAGTGGCCAACCACACATTTGTGGCTTCGGCCAACAATCCCTGTGATTACAGAGAAGTTATTAGCGTCGCCACGGCGGCAGTTTTAGCCATCATGGTGATGCATCCTAGCCCAAGGAAACTAAACATGAAAAGGTTTAGTGCGGTGAAGAATTAAGAGAAAAAAGGGTTATTGGGAAATACCGCAAAAAAGAGAGAAAAAAAGCCTGAAGGGCAAACCGTAGACACGTGTTTCTGACTATTGGTCTTCATCAGTACGCTGCAGCCAAGTTCAAGACAGAATGGAACTAGCGATGGAAGAAAAAACAAACAGGAGATCACTCAAGTGGCCAACCACACATTTGTGGCTTCGGCCAACAATCCCTGTGATTACAGAGAAGTTATTAGCGTCGCCACGGCGGCAGTTTTAGCCATCATGGTGATGCATCCTAGCCCAAGGAAACTAAACATGAAAAGGTTTAGTGCGGTGAAAAATTAAAAGAAAAAAGGGTTATTGGGAAATACCGCAAAAAAGAGAGAAAAAAGCCTGAAGGGCAAACCGTAGACACGTGTTTCTGACTATTGGTCTTCATCAGTACGGTGCAGCCAAGTTCAAGACAGAATGGAACTAGCGATGGAAGAA